TGGGACTGGGAACATACTGAGAGCTAACCGCGGAAACGCTTTCCCACAAACCGTTAGTTTTTTATTCGCACCAAGTTACTGGGCTTATTTTCTCGGAACTGCCGTTAGTCAGCGTGGAGCTCGTGGCACAGGAGTCGTACTTGTAGAAAAAAGTAAAGGCAAAATCCACATATGAGGTATATTGCCTGTCATTCTATGCGACTCTTTTCGCTCAGCATCTCCAGTGCGAATTTTCTAAGCAGAGTATAACATATTCCTAACGACCGCCTGTTTCATAAAAAAAGGATGAGCTGAGGGATAATGGACAACAGTGTCCTTTTCTGGGTTCTTCAAAACAATCATATCGCCCTGTAACTTCAACTGAACATCCAAGAAAGGAAGTCAATCTCCGTTTGGCTTTGCCGTATTAATTTGATGCACTCTGATTGTGAGTAAAGCAGGTCAGAACACTCATCTGTTTCTCCAAGCACCTGCCCTGGGGGACTCGAACTTCCGTAGGGCAGTGGAGACGTTTATTCGAAGAGTCACAGACTGTTACAATCCTTTTGTCCTCTGAAGAGAGCGATTCTGCCGAAACGTCAGCCTCACAAAGCTTAGATACAAATTAATGAATCCCAGGAAGCAAGTCAGTATACAGCTCTTGTCAAACCGTCCTGCTCATCAGCTAGGATGAACTACGAAGGATCGGGTACTCCTGCACTGCATGGAAATATCAATACAAGCAATATCTTCGATCTATCAATCTCATAAAAGGACCTTTATTAAAACAATGGCTATGTTTTTTCCCTCCATTTCGGCTCTTTGGCTCTCTTGCAAATGGTATTCTTTTCTTCATGTTCCTAATGGCCTGTTCAGGATCAGTAGATATCAAGTATGATAACGAAGAAGTGCATTTCATCACTACTAGCCCATTACCAGAATGTAAAGCAACGGCAGCTAATGGCATATTTCGAGAGGTAAGCAAACCAGCCCGTTTGGTCCTTCTGCTGGATGCATTTCCTTATTCTTCGATTCTGTTTAAGGGTCCCATAATCCCACTCAGGGAAAGTACGTGGGGAGTCGCATCTAAATCCCAGGTGGAAGTTCTTTATACGGTGTACATAGGGCTGCCGTGCAACTGTGACAGTATGGTGTGCTCTAACAGTTGATACATATATTAGCCCAATGTCTTCCACATATTAACAAGGAAGCGTTTTTCACCTAGGATTTAGAAGCGACTCCCCACGTACATTCCCTGAGTGGGATTACGAGACCTTTGAACAGAATCGCAGAATAAGGAAATGCATCCAGCAGATGGGACAAACGGGCTGGTTTGCTTATCTCAATATGTCGATGCCATAAGAAATTGAACCTAGCTGGTTAAACAAGGGCACAGGGGAAAGTGCATTTGGGTCAGCACTGCTCTGTACTGCTTCAATGAAATGCTGCACCTTCGGAAAAACAGCGATACTTTTATAACTAGACCTTTTTAGCTGGTATTTCTTCTATGGACAACTTCTTTGGAGATCGTGAGCAGATTTGGTTAGCGCTGGTACTTTTTGGCGTTCCCATTTTCATTCTCAACTGATTTTCTATCTGATACCACCCTTGCTCGAGAAGGTCTTCGATTGAGAAACGTACACGCTGAATATTTGATGAGAGAATTGAAAATCCTCCGCTTTTCAACAGCCTTCAGAGTGGAGCGTGTGAGAACTGCTGAGAAAAGTCTTTCAAAAGACAAGATCTAAAAATTATGAGATGTGGCACTATTACGTTTCCATTCCTATCTGTTTTTTTGTATAGTGATGTGAAGTTGGATGATAAAAGAGAATAGGTTCATTTTATGTTCATCAATCTCTCTTTTGGGATGAGCCACGCACAGTGCTTTCATCCAGAATCGTATTGGTGTTTTGATAGCGTATGTGACCTGTACAACGAATTTCGGTATGTTGGCGACGTACCAGCCACTGCTATTGTCCTTTCAGGAATATCTGGTATAAATTATTTGATTCAAAAGGGATGGAAAGTTTGGTTAGCTTTGGCTATATCGATTCAAGATTTGATCCCAAGACCATGCCCATGTGATGGTACACCACTTACCACTACACCTCCTTAGTGTTTATGAAGTAATCACGTGAACTTATGGACATATTGTATTCATCTTCATTTTGCTTTTTTTGCGACCACTTCATCAGATACACAATATCGAGAACTATAAGCAAACCCCTGCACAGACTCCTTACTAACAATCAGTACAGTCGTTCCTTTCTTCTTTTGAAAGGAACGTGCATTGTTTCTTGGCAGAAGAAGACTTTTGGAAAAAAATCTTGGAAAAAAAGCATCTGCTGAAAAGGAGACTGCGTCTTAAAAGGGCTGATGCACTCGCACAAAGCCTCTTATGTGCGGGGAATAAGGATGTGAGGTATCCGAATTGCCCCTATGTGCATTCGAGACTTCATGTAACAAGATAAGGAGGATTACGTTGGCTGAGTTTTGCCACACTCAAAACTACTCTAGTGGATTCAATAAAATCATATCCGAACTCGATGAAAAACCATTTTCTTCGCAGGTACACGAATATAAACCTAAACCGAACAACGGTGAGCCCCTAGGTCCCNCCCATATTATCGACACGTGAACGTGAATCTTATCTGCATTTCTTAGCAGCACCTTGGTAAGCTGAATAACATCGAGTAATTCATTTTTCCTTTCCCCGCGTTCACATAAACACTCTTCCATGGAAGGCGACACAGCGGTGTCGCCATCAATTCCCTGGAGGACGTCCATTTCTTGCCTATCACATTCCCGACCGCCGACATGCTTCACTCAATAAGCTCCGAATGTACGAAAAACCAAAAACGAAAAAACGAGCTCACTTTCAGCTCGTCAAGTTCATTGCCGATGTTGTCCATTTCATGTTTTGTGACGCCAGCGGTGTAGAGCACTTTGATACCGTAGCCATGCTCCAGTTTTGTGGTAAGCGCTTCGTGTGGCTGAATAAGGAGAGGCTGTTGGTAACCTCCAAAACTGGTATTAATTAATGGTTGACAAAGCCGAAATTTGGTTGTAAGAAGACTATTGCCGTTAAGGAATTTCTTGAATGCAGATTACCTTCACTGAGATCGCCCCAACCTTAGCAGAAACCGAGAACCTGACTGTAGCTTCTATGCTGAATAGGAGGCTCCCCCACCCCCTTCTGCCGGGATTCAGAGGCGAAATTCTGTTCGAGATAGCAATTCTCATTATATTAAGGTCTGCACGCATTCATTTTTCATAGCCCTCCCTAGTGTTCGTTTCTTCTCGAATTGAAAGTGGGGGCTTATTGGATTGAATTCGTCTATTCATAATGCTCTCATCGATGCCCGCAGGCTGTCCCCTTAACTCCTCATCGAAGCTGCCCGCGTGTGAATAAATTGCTGATCAAATATTTACTGCGGATGTGCTCCTGAGCTCGTTCATGGGGTGTTCTTTGTTTAGCATCTGTTTCACCTCGGCACCTGGCCAAAGGTATACGTAACGATGTCGTCCTCAGGAGTCAATTGCAGTAATTTGAAGCAATGACGCTACAGAAAGTAACGTTGAATAAAAGCTCACAGCAAAATTCAGCAGCCTCAGATAAAAGGGGAATGAAGGCGAAACCTGTGAAGAACCAGAGATCTGAGAAGCTCACTAACCAAAGCATGTCGAGGCTCATCGCTTTGCTTCAAGGTGCCGACCTTCTTCCAACCGAAGTGATTGATCAGACGGCACTTTGCGTTGTTTAGGTTCCGGTCTCCAGGGACTATCCGAAAGAATGTCGGGTACAGCTGAAAAAAAGCACTTTCGGAGAATTTGTTCAACATTTGATTGGGGCCTGACTTTATTTACGTGTCAACATAAACATCGTTCAACGTTTATCCCGAAAAACGTGGTGATGATGGGTGGTGCCGTGTGATGCATGCGATTCCCGTGAAATCAGCCAGGCTTGAATAATCTTCAGATCGGGTGGGTAGTAGAAGGGAAGCATTAAATTGAATCAACGGACTATTTTGATGTCATTTTGGTGTCACCCAGAATATTTAACGGTCAAATTAAATCCATGGCACATTCCCGATTTGATGTTCGGCTAAACTTATCAATNGTTCAGGTAAGTCCATTTCTTTTGCCCCTGTAAACGATACGTTGCACCTTCTCGCAGTGGCGTTGGAACTGTTAATAATTCATGACAACGGGCTAGTGGAGCACCTACACCAGGAAGCTGTGAAACTCTAGTGTGAAACGGTTGGCAAGAGGTGCGAAGTGCTTTACCTACGCCTACCTATGTTAACTGAAAAGATACAGAACACCGTTTATGAATGGCCAGAACAGGGGAAGGATCCATCTACGAAGTGGAATGTACCACACTGCCCGCACTTAAATTGCTAAGACAATACCGCTATCAGACCGTGTTCCCTATCCGTAATGTTCTGAATCGAGGGTTACCCTAACCCAAGGAAATCTAACTTTTTATCCTATCAAATGGCTCAACCTTTTTAATTACCTTCCCCACAATTGCTTCTGGATGGTGTTGTGTCTCGGAAGTAGTAAACTTGCAATCAGGTTAAATTGTTGACGGGATTCCTTTGGTCTCAGCTAGACCGTTGGTAAGATCCACGACAATCCCATTTCGGACCCTTGCGCATCACGTAAACAGCTTTCCCCACCGCAGTAATGAAATAACGAAGTACGCCAACCAAAGGCAGGCAGCACGAATCCATGCTACCTCAGAAACATTCGAGTTTATTTGAGTGTGCCCGAGGGGTTAAACAAGCTCCGACGTTAATTCAACTCCTTCTAAGCACAAAAAGATTATTCTGAAAAATTTTCTCTTTTTTCTGACTTTCTTCTCTCACTGAACCCTGCCCAAGCAAATGGGTAATGATGCAGTTGCTCGAAGCTTGCTCGTCGCCTCGCGCTTGATTCACTTAGGCCTTCAATCATGGCGCTTATCTGCTTCACATCAGCTTCCCACAGCCGTGCAGATGTTGGATAGAGCGAAATAGAATAGACGATGATGTGCTGGGAACAGCTCTCAGACATCAGCTTTCTGAGTAATTGTGGAGAAACGGATCTTGTTTTTCTATGTTATCCAAAAAGTCATTTCCCATGAATGTGGTTATGAGGCATGTCTTGAAAATAGGTTCCTGTCAGAACTGCTGTCTCTCAATCTCCTAAGGACGGCTACCAAATCCAGGATTTGGTGGAGGCACTGATGGAAGATAAAACCTTGAGCGTTGATCAATTCCTTTTGGAAGGCGCCTCGCCTTGGACTTCTACTCAGAATCGTGGCGTAGCATTGGATGCGTATGTGGCCTATACAATGGTTTGCGATGTCCCGATGGCCTGTACAACTACAGCCGATGAACAAGTGACTGCTTTAATTCTTTGAAATCGAGTCTGGTACCATAAGTCGACCTTCTCGGGATGGGAGGTTTGATTGGCTTGGCGAATATCGGTCCTCTATTCGATTCCTGGCGCAGGCCTGTGTGATAGTGCCCAACTTATCCTATACCACTACCGTCCAGTAAGCTGTAGGGCTATGTACTTGGTAGGTAGCCCTAGGGAAGTAAAAAATGTAGAAGATTGATAAAAAAAGTGGTTATCTCGACGAGCAAATTATCTACTCCATCCAAGGTTACCATTACTGATTTCGTACTACTTCACTTTTTTGGTTGCTTCAAGGTAGCTACTTATTCTGCCGTGGTCTCTAGAACTGCCATGGGACCGAGTCATTCAACAATCGCACATTCAATGGCTAAAAACGGCCAAAGATCACTGCCAATGCGTAGGCGCAACACTTGCTTATATGATTTTTCGTGGAAAATAAATGCATGGCGGAATACGCGAGATGAATTGAAGGGCCTTCCAATTTCTTTTCCTTGTATTGAGCTATTCTTTCCTGGTGAATTTTTCGAGACTTTACCATACCTCTTGAGAATCTGCAGTACCAAATTTTGCATGGGTCTCTGCGTAACTGAGCTGCACCACTTGCCAGTACTTGAGGGCCATTGCGACGGGCTCGTTTACCTGAAATTCTCAAATCAATCATAATCGAAACAGATAGCCGTTTTTGTGGTAGCGGATTAATAAACAAAGAGATTTGCCTGCGATTTGTCATGCATATTTGCGGGGTGATTGATATCGAGGCCTGTTCACACCAGATGTTGGCAGAACCGATTTCCACTGGCTTCTAGTCGCACTTTTCAAAGCGAGGGGGTCAATTCCTACAAAATTGTAACGTACCTCCGTACACATTCCTCCGAACAGAGCCACTGGGCGAGGACGCGAGGCTATCAGATCAAACAGAGCCTTCATTCCAAGCGACGTTTTACACTGAAACAGCTTATCAGATCAGACTGTTAAGGCTTTGGGTCAGCTTTTTTCCAAAACTCTGATCCGGACGGAGTCAGAAGTTGTTAGTTTTTTACACAGCCAACTCGAGTTGCCAGAACTTGTGCAGCCCAGATGCAAACGAGCACCCCCATAACTTATGACTTTTATGACCGTTTTGAATGACAGCGCTCTTCAATATGATGTGACTCCACGGGCCTATTCAAATGTCCCACTAAAGCTCTCGCAGAAGTCATTTGGCAGAACATTCAGGCTCCTACGAATAAGTAAAGGCATCAATCGCTTGCTCAATTCATCCTTACTGTATTGCTCTTATTGTAGTGTGAAGAAACCTTTCTGTAGTGAGCCTTGCAAGCTTTGGAGTCATATGAATGAAATTGTTAGAAATTATGAAGTAAAAGACCTTTTCCACCTGGTTTCATTCAAACCAGTAAAAATCTATCCTGTAGACCACTATNCTCCTACGAATAAGTAAAGGCATCAATCGCTTGCTCAATTCATCCTTACTGTATTGCTCTTATTGTAGTGTAAAGAAACCTTTCTGTAGTGAGCCTTGCAAGCTTTGGGGGCATATGAATGAAATTGTTAGAAATTATGAAGTAAAAGACCTTCTCCACCTGGTTTCATTCAAACCAGTAAAAATCTATCCTGTAGACCATTATATCCATTATATTTTAGTACCCATTAGGAGAATGTGAGAAAAAGTGGGTACTTAACTGGTTTTATAGGTGTAGGGCAGAAATGAAGGGAATTATGTAAAACCCGTGATTAGGAGTTACTTAAACTTTTCCCAGCGGAGTACTAGGGCACCATGAAAACAGAGATCGCCTCCTTGTTCTTTCATTAGGTCTTTCATAGCAACTGAAGCGAGCAACCCAAAAGCAGTCCCGATTTTGCACTTGTCTAGTAGGTAGCTCACTTTCGGGGCAAAGTGAATGGGCAGAAGTCGTATGTGTGACTGGTGAAGGAGATATTAGAGTGAGAAATTGGTAATCGTAGGCCCTGACGAAGGATCGTTCGGAAAAATGTCAAAATTGTAATAATGGCATCCGGGAAGATGGTGATTCTGTTCTAGGAACCCAAGTATTACGCAGAAAAAGCGGTAAAGGTGGTCCAGGCCATTACGTAGTTACATGAACGGGTCGTGCAGCATCTATACAGACATATGCGGCCCCTTACAGTGATTGAAAAGGCTCATTCGATAGGTTGCTTCCTCATGGACCTTTCACAACCAGACTTTCCCCGCCTTTTTGGATGCCCTCGTTGTTAGGTCTGCTTTTTGCAGCGTGAGATGTTATCCCTTCATGGATCGTATCACATACCGTTTGGAGTCACAGCTGACAATACTAACAGTGTAAGGACTTCATGTCGATGAAGATCTAAAGCGTCTGAGCAGGCCACATGGCCAAAGGGATCATCGCCAGGTCGAAAATTATTCTAAATAGGACGTAACAAGGGCTAAGAACTAATCCCAAAGAGCATGGCCGCTCAATACTCCCAGAAAAGGACGTGTTTAACGGTCTCGTATAGCCCTATTCTCGTCTTAATGGAAAAATATGTTGTAAATGCATCCAGCTGATTTATACACATTAATAGCATACGTTGCTTTGTAGCTACTGAAATCTCGTACAACATTACTTTCTCGTTGTAACCTCGTCCCACTACTGGTTTAGAAAAGCCCAGTAGTTGGAAGTTTCTGTGAGACTTCTCCTTTTCTTCGTCGACCATGAACTTTTCTGCATCAACACTTTTGCACTGTAACCCAATAAAAGTACACGAAATTATCTCAAACTGTGCCTACGGGGCTCCGCCTACGAAGAGTTTGTACTTCCATCTTCCCCTACAATGAGAAAGTGCGATTTGAAATTATTTCTGGCAGCGTCTACAATTTACAGAGACACTAGTTGGTCTCGGAATTGCTTCTTCCAGTGATTTTCTTCAAGGACTTTGGAAAGCTTCTAAAGCATCCTCAATTTTGTGGGCCCCTGAAAGAATGGGTAGGAAGTAATCACAGATTTTCGACTCTAATTCTGCTTCATTTCACACCTCTGATTAAAGCCCCTGCTAAAATAGTTATCAAGATTACGGTGTCGCTTCAACAAAAATCTTTCCCTTTCTCAATTCTGGCTGGACGTCAGGCAACGAAGGCACCTTGACGTGAAGGAAGTAAACCATGAAACAGATTTTAAGGCAGGCAGAAATAGAACAGCTCTACATTTATGGAAAGGCAATGAAATACTGTAGAAAAGAGCCGTCCCATGAAGTTGCAAAGTGAAAAAAACAAAGTAACGTAAACAAATATAGCATAAGCAGAGCACATCTGAAATTGTCTCGTTTCGCAGGCAGAACCCCACCGGAGAAAGGATTTCACTTGCACTGCATTTTAATTGACTAGGATCCAACCGGTAGGCAGAGTTGATACAAAACCAAGAAAATCTTCAGGACGGAATTTTGCCCACAATACCCCATTGCAGACTAAAATCAGAGATTGGTCGTCGGGGTGGATGAAAGAGAACTTTTTCATTGAACGGGCAATCATAGGTTCCAAGTTTTCTGTTCTTGCCGGATTGTTCCATCATCCCACCCATTGTTTGTAAGGATATTACTTACTGACTTCCATAACCACTGTTGCGAGGAGACCACTGAGTGAGCACCGTTTTCGAAGTATACGGTTCAGACGATGGCATAATTTTTTGAATATTTCCAAAAAAGTTAGATGATGAAAAGGACTCTAATACCGGGAACTGTCGTATAAGGGGTAATTAATGCCATTCATCCTGTCAGATTTCCTTTCCCGTTAAAAGCTTAGTTTTTTCTGGTTGAAGCGGAGCAGAGAAAGTTCTTTAAGCACAGAATAAGTTCTAGAACAAATCATGAATAATTCAATAGCCAAACAGGTACATCAGGTTTGGGTTATGCCACTCTTTTGTTTACTGCCAATCAACACTGTAGTAAACATGTGACCGATACCGAAAACGGCTTGGTTTCTTTTTCGATTTCCCTGTTCGGGTTCAGAAGCATACCAAATTGCTGGCCAATTCCCGCCAGTCGAATCAAAGCGAAGCCCCAGCCTGGAGAGCTAGCAACGGAAGTACAAAGTGGGCCAGGCAATTATGTATTGTGCATGCTTTTTCTAATTCCGGAATCCGCTTCTTGTTTTCTTTCCCAGAAAGTCGGTAATAGGTTTAGAGGACCTCACTAAGCCTGCATCTCCCAAAAGGCCGAATGCGCTATGAATATTTCAAGGGGGTTCTACAAGAAGACGAAAAGAAGATTGGAAAGTATTGAGCCGAGGAAAACGAAAAATTCATTCTCGGTAATAAATTAGTTCCCAGTTTTTCAATTTCACTATTTTGTTGGAGTAATACTTCATGGGCGAGAATCGCAGTGCGAACTTAGGAAGATCTGAACCTTTCAATGGTTCTTGCCTTCCCTTTACTTTGAGAGCTAGCCAAGCAATTCTGGCACCTGCTTGGGCACGTAGAACAGCACTGGTTCTGTTCCGTTGGGCTACCTATTTTTTCCTTCGCGCGGTCCAAATCATTCCCTTGAATAGTCGCAAGTTGTAAAAGTTGAATAGATTCGAGCAAGTCATATAGATGAAGGATAAGGGACTAAAACTGCCAAATCAAGTAGCAAGGTGCCTTTTTCCGGATGACACAATCTTCACAATTACTTCGATAGTCGAAGCTTCGCTACTGGGATCACTACCACTATTGACAGAATAGAATGTCAGCATTCCTTTCAGCAATAATGTGATCGAAAAAGCTCCGAATCATTCAGAAATATGATGCTCAATATCCACGATAACCCTCAGTACACCACTGGGAGGTTTATTTGCGTCAGCAGTTGGTAGCCTAATAGAAATAGACTGCAATAGCACACAAAAATGTCGTGATCCGTATAATCCGAATGACCAACGAGAGCCTAAGCCTCAGGCAATTTCAATATAAACTCTGGTCAAGGCAATCAAATCTCATTAACCATTTTTAGATCAACTCAATCTTTCTCGGATAAAAATTCAATTAACGTTTTTCTTGATTCTCTATTTTTACTAGTATCTTCAAACTCGTGACTTCCTCAGGCCTTGTCATAAAGTTTGAGGAGGAGAGTTTTGTCAAAATTTTTGACATTTTGATTTTTGATAAAAGGGACCAACAATAGTGAAAAAAGCAAATTGCCGTGATTCCTGAAGGTACAAATCTTCAGAAGTGAACAATCGTGTTATAGGATGACCCTTAGTGGAAGGACTTTGAGTAACAGGAGTTCTGCTGTAAGTTTGAGGAAAGGGAGATGATCGAAGAGAAAAATGAAGTTGGAGGAAGTCAAATATGATTACGGAACGATTCGAAGCTTCAAATCGAATCTCTATCTTTTCAAAGTCTATAACCATCAGGCTACCTTCAAAGCTCCACAGGGAAGCTCACTCACGTTAAGCTTTTCACAAAAGGTGAAAAAGTTGACAGACCATTCTCAAAGCTTTGAGTAGTTGAAGTTGTACATCCAATGTTAATCTCAAAAAGAATAGCTCCCTTCAGGAAATGTAGGTATATGTAGGGAGAAAAACGCCGAAAGTTAGCGTTTTGCGCAGAGTTCCCAGGGACACAATCGGAGCCCATTGCAGAGAACTTCAACGGGTAGGTAGAGCCGATTCCGTGGAAATATTTTACCACAGTGGCTTATAAAGGTACCCTTCAGAAAGGAAAAATCAGCACAGTAGCCTTACAAAGCGACAGAATCCAAATGATAATGTCATGTGTTTTCCAAACAGACTGAAAGTAAAAACTTCTCACCTGTGTATCTTTGTAAATCAGTTCTAATTTGTAGCCATCCAGAATACAAGAGTGGTTTTGAATATAGTTTAGAGCTAATTTTATAGCTGGTTTAGCATCGAAAGGTCTCTGATCAAGTGAGTGAGCAGGCAATTTGCTGCTCAGAAAAACTCCGATAGGTACTGGCGTTCCACCAGCACGAGGTTTGCAGGAGAGGCTGATCAGTCCAGGTGTAAGAAATCCTATGATAATGATGAGATGCCGCATCGCTGTCTTCAGTAACCACTTCAGGGGCGAGCAGATTGATGGACCAATCCTTGCCGTTCAATCTCTAGGTAGAGATAGAATAAATCATAGGAATTTAATGAGTAGCATGTTTCAAGGACCAGATCGATTTGCCGTTGAGCAGTTGTCATACGAAGAAGACGAAGTGGGCGGTGCCATTTGAAAGAGTGGGTGGAGCCGCTACGACGACATAGAAAGGAAGGAACACGAAAGAAATTGTTTTACGGCAGCTCTCGGCAGCTTTCAACAATCAGACTTTGTGGTCTAATAGGGCACTCAACCGAGGGCGGCGAACTACCGCTATTAGTTAAGTGGTGAAGGCTGCAATCACTCATTGTTTGCCCTTGGCAACATTGGAACCGGAAAAAAGTTTAGGGGGATTTCAAGGGGAGGGGTAGAGGTGAGGGCCTCCTCCTACCACCTTCTGTGACATGTGACCCCCGTGGATGTAGGGATGTGAAAGCCCAGAGACGCTTTGACATACGTTCTCGACTTTCTCCTAACTAGAACCTATCCACAACAGCTTTAATGGTCCAACACAAATTCTTACAATTTTTATGGCCTCGCTCTAAATTTTCTCAATAATTCGTTTAATTTGTGCTTTCCAGACTGTCTACCAGGCCCCGGAAAATTGAATTAAAAAGCTTCCACTCGATCTCGAAGCTGAATGCCCTGCATGTCAAGGGAGGCATATAGCTCTGAGGAGTAGAGAAACGAAGCTATAATTGAAAAACGCCTCCATAGAGATTTTTCGTTGACAGGAAAGCGAGGAAAAGCTCGTGAAAATAGATTAAGACTCCTTGAGTTTTCCATAATTCCGAAGCCTATTGCTATTCGTAAGGTCTTAATGCTTATGAACTGAACTGATGGTGAGCTAATAGGGCAGTACAAAGAATGATTAATTTCTTCATTTCGCCAACCCAGTTAACTGACATTGAGCAGCCTTAGAAGCGGGTAAAATATGCCATCACATTTTGCAGCGTCCATTCCGGCCATCCGAAAATTCCATTTCTCCAAAGACATTTAGTTTCGACCGGAATGGTCTTGAAAAATGGAAGTCCTTGCTTGAGGAGCAGAGCAAAACGCTTTCAAAATTCGCTTCCTAAGCCGGTACTTGCCCGGATTATACATCCAGATTTTACAGTATAGCAAAATTCACGGCTCATCATGCAGCTAACTAACACCTTATCTATCTATTGTAGGCACAATTCACGATAAAAATGTTTTCTAACATATCATAGCATAACATATAGATGAATGTGTGGCTCTCTGGTATACCATATGTAGCGCTGTCAGATCGAAAAACGGCCTAGATGGGACGTTATAAGGGCTTAAAAATTGTATCGCTCCAATGCCACACTCATAGCGGACGAATTTCAGAGCCGTTATAGAGGCACAAAAGACACTGTCAGCTCTTTACCTTTTTGCAAAGGCTAAAAACTCGTCCAAATACCTCTCAAATGCCATTTCCGTCACGCTAATCTCGCGCATTCTCACCACTTTCAGAAAGCCTAGTTTTGGCTGAATTGGCTGATTTCCTCGCTTTCTTCGTCACCGATGCACTATACTCAACCTACCCCCTGCTTATGAACTTGGAATGGCTTCCTTAATCGTAAACTGTGACTTCAACTTTTCTAGTTTTGGGAGATTTCGCCGAAACAACGGCGATATGCGGAAAATCTAGTTGTTCAGGAAGAAATCTACCAAATATTCCTATCAGAGAAAGCCTCATGAAATACCTAGGATAAGGGGATTCGAGGTTAATCAGTTCAAGTTGAAGCCATACCCACTACGAAGAAATGTTATAATTAATGAACTACCACGAAGAACTTACTTCCCTGGAGGAAAAACTGAAGGAAGACCTCATTATGTCCAATTTTCTCTGCTCAATAACAGGACGAATGCAATCGAAAAGCTTGCTGAAGGAATCTACTCCTCTCTACTTCAAATGTACTGGGTTTATTCAGATCATAATTATGATCGTATACAAACATCTGCGAGGGAGTCTGTTGAAATGAGGGCTAAACATTCATATTTTTGCATTTTCATTGTTGTTGGTATTTGTATTTACAGAATTCCATTAGGGAATCTTCTGATCCCGGAGATCCTTCGTGAGGTACTGATGATTTGATTTTTGTCTCAGATGACTGATGACCTAGTCTTTTGTTTATAGGAGTTTGATGTGAGATCTCAGTTAGGTTTTTCTCTACACAACTTACTATCTCAGTTGTTCAGTGTTAATCTTTTAGCCAAAGTGGAAGGTGCGCTTGAAGCTCCAATGTTTCCCCAAATACAGAGCTCCTATGGTTGAATCCCTCTTAACTGTACCCGCTAAAGTTGTTTAGGACCAATTAGAGAGAATGGGAAGTTCTGTGGAACCTTTGTGCAATTCAAAGAGTCTTATAGGAACGTATACAATCGAAGGGAAAGAGTAGCAACCCATTTAAGTTAATATTAGTGCTTACAGTGAATCCTGTTTAGCTTCTTGCGAGGCTTGACTTTTCGGCTATTATCTCAAATACCTCGGTGGCATATACATCTTTAGAGGCTTCCATACCACTGCATCAGGATTCCTTTTTTTACAAAATACCATAATTCAGGAGGCGCCATGGCAATGCGTTCTTGACAAGAAAATAGCTGCCTTACGTGATGAATTGCTGTCGTAGATTCAACGGAATTCGTGCCAATTTCGCGAAGATGAGCGGCTCGGGCCATTGGCGTGCAGTCCGCTTACCAGTCTGCCGTTTCCTGAACGTTGTAAAATCACCACTTGGCAAATGATCCCTCTAGCTGATGGATGCATTGCATTGGCTGCGATTTTCACGACTTCGACTCCGGCTGTGAAAATCTTTTGAAAGGGTAAGTGTAGGGTCGGATGAGCCATTTTTATGCCACGCAGGGCTATTCTTCGCACTTGTCTGTTCAACAGATCACTTGACTAAATTACAGTCGTACGAGAATACGGACGGGTCGCAAAAGCTTTCCAATCTTGAATCGAACTATAAACCGAGGGTTGAAACCAACACCAAACCTTGAAGTCTTCCTCGCCTATATAAAATGCCCCTCATAACTGTAAGTCAGTGTTATGTGCGAGCATATACAAAGTGAAACCTGGGATGGACTGTGATATCAACTCAATCCCAGCGATTACTAATTACTGTAAAGATCGACTTGTACACAATCCTGAACAACAAAAAACCTAAAATCCCAAGCAAATAAGCCTCTTCGGTCATTGTCCCGTCCATACATTCTCATCCTAAAAATAAGTTCTTATTAGCAATGTTACCAACTAAATCGGGAAGTACAATGTCAAAATCAAGGGCAAACTGAGTCCTAAAGGATGGAGCCCTGAAAGGTCGCCTTGTTCTTGTTTAGAATTGCTTCATTGATTCTCAACGACGACGGGGCTCAGTAGTGCATTTATAAACATGATTGACATAATTTAGTACTGCGCCCGAAAGATTGATGGGCATCAAGAGTAGCGCTGCAGATTTTGAGAGATTTATCCGAAAGATTTGCTTTTATATTCATGTACATTTCCTTAGCGGGCGTGGTGTAGTGGCAAGTGGCGCACTTCAGACACGCACGGTCACGGGTTTAATTCCGGATCAATATTGCCCAAGGAAACCTTACATCCTTTCAGGGTCGGCTAATTGTACCAAACTTGTCTGGGAGGAGAAAATCGCTGACTTGACCATCGGCTGGCCACTTCACGTCATTGTATAGGCCACATACGCACTCAACACACTACGATTCTGGGTGGCAGTCGAATGCGACGGCGCATTCCTCAGACGGAATTGATTACATCCGAAGACTTTAGCCTTTTGATACAAATTTTCCAGAACAGGGCGTCACTTGCTCAGTGGTACGTCGTTTCGATAGAAGAACCATTGGAATGGTCGCTGTGACATGTCCCTCAGGGACATTTTTCAAGTATTTTTGGAAGTATGGCATTAAAGCCGACACAGCTGAGCAACATTCCAGGTTAAACTGGCAAGAGTCAGAATCATAAAACGCATCTGAAGCACCCACTGATAAATTCGGAAGCATACTTGGCTAGGATCGGACATTGGACAGCGCGATATTCAGGTTCCAAGTAATGAGTGGTGAAAAAATTTTCTCTATTCATATGTCCAACTCCTCTTGAATTATTGCGTTAGAAATTTGCATGCTCGAAGTTTTAGCTTTCGAGCCCTTTCGAACCAGGTCCTTTTAAATCCAACGGCGTTGCGTAGTCTGCATGCTTTTTTTCGAAAGCTTCTATCTCCTTGATTAGAAAGCATAATTACTACTGCGAAGTGTCTGTTTGATGTTTTATGAGAGTTTTTCTGCAACATCTGGCTTTCAATTAGAGCCAATAAATAATTTTCCCCTACTGATGTCTTGGAACGATCAGCCTTTTTCTCCTTACAACGCCTCTTTGCTCGTAGCATTCATATTGAGGAAACGAACGGGAGTCACGTATGCGTGAATACCCAAAAACACAACTTTTGGAATTATGTGTCGTCGTAGTGGAAAGGTACATTCCTGGGTCCACAGTGTCGACATTAACCCATTGACAACCGCGTGGCCCGCCGGCGGGCCACACCATATCTGCTCTTGTAGTATTTATATTATTTGTCAAGTGTTCTTATAATTTTTTTCATGTTTTCAGGTATCAGCTGAGCTCACATCCTTCTAGAGAACCTTGAGGCATCGTAGTCCAGGAC